AAGGAAGGAAGTAGAGGAGGGAGGGAGGGAGAAAAGAAAGGGAGAAGAAGGTGGGGTCAAAACAGGCGAGGGATGGCAAACAAAGCAACCCAAATGGAACATTATAATTCTATAAATGGGATGACAAATGTATAAGAACCATGAATGTAAAAAAAAGAATAACAACTATGTGAATGTATACCTATAATTGTATATAGAGAATGAAAAATAAAAAACTTTATATATAAAAAAAGAGTGTCTCCCTTAGTCTTCAGCTTTCAAATGTTTGGAGCTGGCAGCAGAGAGAGGGGTGGGCAACGGGTGGGCCAAGGAGGATTGGCTGTGTGCGCAGCGCCTTCTGGAGCCACCAGAGGGCACACTCCTCTGGGATTCTCTGAAGCTATGGGTTGAAGGGGGGGCTCTTTTCAGGGGACAGGTGGGGGGGGGTTCCAGAAGAAAAGAAGAGCCCCCCCAAATCGGGAGGACCTCTGCCCCAACTCGCTTTGGTCCCATCAGTTTGGGACACCATGTAAAGTCACTGACACTGCAGGAGAGAATGGGGAGGGGGGGTCAAAGGTCATCCCAGAGAGCCAATAAGGGCTTTCCTTCTGAGCCCCCTCTCCCCCCCCCAGATCAGCCCTGCCCCCCTTCTTCTTTGCTTGAAGGATGCAATAATTCTGCATTTCTAGATGCGGGGGGGGGGGAGAACATGGGTGGGATCAGCCACATCCATAGGTTGGGGGTGTTAATGTTGTAAGCTGCCCGGAGTCATCCGTGTGTGAATTGTGTGGTCGTGTGGCACTTTAAATCATTCACTGATTCATTCTGCTTTTAAAGGCGTTGCTGTGCTAGAAGAAACGATCTCCCTAAACAATTGGTAAAACGTTGCTCTGCTTGTTTCCTTGATGCTCTGAATGATTGGCAGGCCGTTCAGGTGTGGCTGAGAGGGTGGCCCTTCCTGCTGCTAGGAAACAGCCAACACAAACAGCGCCTCTATGACTAAGTCACCCCCACCCCCGGTGGCCTTTCCTCCTCTTTGGGACATTCCCCCAACTGCTCCGGGGAGAGGCAGGGACCCACGCCAGGCCCCACCTCCCCCACCCTACCCGCAGGGCCAGGAAGAGGCTCCGGTGCAGTGGCTCCCTCTGGGGAAACGAGGGGGGGGGGGGCCGCAGCAGAGGTCGCCTTGAGCCCCACCGGGGAAGAGAAGCAGGCCGGAAAGATTCCCTCCCTGCCTCCAAGTCCTCTCGGGCTTCCTGGGGATTCCCAGCTCCGCTCTGCCTTGACGGGTGGATTCCACCTGGAGCAGGTGGTGCTGCAGACGGCCAGGCCCTGGGCTCTTCCACCAAGGGCTTGCCCCACAGCCAGAAACCCCCTGCCACCCAAACCAGGGAGGGGGTCAGCACAGGCAGAGCAGCCCAAGAGGAGTTTGAGAAAAGTCCAAGGGAGGGGAATTGCCAGGGTGCTCAAAGGAGGGGAGGGGAGCCAGGCACCCTCGAAAAATCACCAACCAGGGGACGCCCCCCCCCTCCCTCCCTCCCTCCCTCACAGGCAGTGGCCCAAAGGCTGTAGCAGGGCATCAGCAGCCACGTCCCCTGCTGACGTAGACGCTGGTTCAGTTGGGGTCTTTTAGGGGCCTCCCTCCCCCCCTGCCAGGGCAATTGCTCCCGCCCGTTCCCTGCTGCCCTCCTGCTTTCAGCCAGAGGACCAGCTGGGGCTCCCTGCCATCCAGGGAACGGGCAGCCCCCCCCCCTCCCCGCCTGTTTTCTTCCAAAGTGCTGAGCTGGTGTTGTTGACATTAACTTCCTTTGGAGGCTTTTGATCAGCAAATAATCCTGAAACCAAAAGAGGAACCACCCTGCTTTGTGTGACACACAATGGAATGTGCGCATCAGGGCAGCCGCAAGTTACCCAACCAGTTGCAAAACCCTCAATTCCTACGTGCCGTTGCAGCCGGGCAATCTGCCACCCAGACTCTTTGGGAGCCAATGGGGAGCATTGGAGGCGGGGCAGGGCGGGCAGGACCCCCGGGCTCAGCTCCCTCGTGCCTCTGGCGGGCCCTAAGCGGTGAAGGCCAACAGCTGCCCATTCCTCTGACCCCGAATCATACATGGGCACGGGCCAACGGGAGCAGGCAGGAGCTGCACACCTGCTGCACGGAGGGCAGGGGACAAGAGCCCCCCCTACCCCGAGGTTCCCCCTGCCAAGGGCAGCCCTTAGACTCCGGTGGCCCCCTGGTGGTCTGTCTCCAGAGGGCCTCCCCCTCCTCCTCCTCCACGGGCCCTCTGAACGCAGCCCTCTCTTCTGTTGGGCAATAGCCCTTATATACCGCTTCATGGTGCTTTACAGCCCTCTCTATGCGGTTTACAGAGTCATCCTCTCGCCCCTTCCCCAGCAATATGGGTCCTCATTTTGCCCACCTTGGAAGGACGGAAGGCTCCATCCTGGGTCATCCTTGAGCTGGTCAGGATCGAACTCCCAAATGCTGGTCGCCGGTAATCAGCAGAATTAGCCTGCAACACTGCACTCTAACCACTGCGCCACCAGGGCTCCCCATTCATCAGCCCTTGTCTGAAGGGGGGAGTTGGAGGTATTTGGAGGGTTTTATTAATGCACTTGGGGGCTTTTTTGCACCCCACCCAGAATCCTTTAGGGTTGTACTTCGTACATTAAGCCACCTCTGCCAAGTGCCCACATTCTGCCAGGTTGGAGGCCCAGTTCCACTTTTGCCCAGGAAACGGACAGCCCAGAAGGGAGAGGGCCACCCCGTGCCCATCCAGCCGGTCTCCATGTTGCGAGAATGGCTGGAGAGGCAACTCAGAAGCTGGGATGATCCCGGGCAGAAGCTCGACCTTCAACCCCGTACCCCCCCCCCCGTGGCCCCCACAAGGGCCCTCCTGCCACGCTCTGGTGGTGTCCCTGAAGCTGCACCCAGCAGGGCCCTCGGATGGGCAGGAGGGGAGGCCGGTCTGTGGGGCTGCTGCTTCCGTGTTGCCTTTCTGGGCCCCAGCCTCTTCCTCTGCAGGGATGACTCAGTGGTGCCCTCCCCCCTCCCCTCCCCTCCCCTCCCCCAGGGGGCCAGTCACGTTGAGCTCCTGGTGCCTGGAGTGGCTGCCTGAGACGGCTGGGCGGGAGGGGCTGTCTGACTCACGGGGCTGACTTGGGGGTGCTGGGGGCCCACATGTCTGCAAATGGGGGGAACAGTGGAATGGCCCCTCCCACTGAGATGGCTGGGCCGAAGATGCGGAGGTCTGAGGTCAGGTGGGTGGGTGGAGGCAGGCAGAGCAGGTGGGGGGGGGCTTGTGTGATGGGCCGTGAGTGACAGAGGGCCCCTCGAAGGACAGACGGAGGAGGAGGAGGAGGAGGAGGCACCAGGGCCTTTGTGGGTGATGCAGGCGGTGTCTGCTGGCCCCTCCCTCTGCCCTGGGTGCTCTCTGCTGGCTGGGACACCCTGGCAAACGTGGAATTCCAGAAGGTGGGCTGAGGGCTGCCCTTCTGGACCCCTTTCCTCCCGGAAGGCCCCAGAGACAGCAAGCAGGAGGCAGCCGAAGAGCCTTCCGGAGGCAGAACCCCTCCCCCCTCCCCGGAGCTCCCTTTCGCCTGGCCCAAGAGCCCCAGGAAGCCCCTGGGGGCAGAGGAAACACCTGCCCCCCCCCCCGGGGCTTCCGCTGGAGAAGCAAAGAGGAAGAGCGGTGGAGGGCTTGGGCAGAGGAGAAGGCCGGGCAGGGGGCAGCCGGAGGCCAAGGGGAATTTGTGAGTCATGGTGCTCCCTCCGCCCCCACGACAGGATCGGCTGGGGGCGCCTGCTGGAAACTCCACTCAAGCCCAGCCACCGCAGCCTTTTCCCGGATTGGCTCGGCCCACAGAGGCCTCCCTCACTTTATTCATTAGACTAATTTATATGCACAATGACTCTGGGAGTGTGTAATAGTAAAGATCCAGCTAAAATTTCACAATTTTAGCCCCCACTCTACCCTGTGGCAACAACAGACTCACACAGCCCCCTTGATTGTCCCCCGAATGGGGGTCCCCACTCACACCCCACACACCTTTTAAGACCTGGCTGAAAAGCCACGGGAACTGGGGCGGGGGGGGGAGGGGGAGCCTTACCCCTGGTAAGATGCCTTCCATGGGGGGAGGGGGGGCAGTGCACAGGAGGCCCTTTTCCAGGGTCTCACCAGACCTCCCTCCCTTCCTCCAACGTTCCCTGCCATCCTGCCTGGGGAGATGCTCGGGGAGGGGGGGTCCATAAAACATCCTGGCCATCTGGGACTTTAGAGGAGGCAAGTTGAGCCTTGAGTCGAGGTTGCACTGGGAAGAACCCAGAGAAGCTCCAGCAAAAGAGACCCCTCCAAATTTGGATCTGCACAAAACCATGTTTAAGGCCCCTTCCTGAAGACGGCACCCCCCCCCGATCTCCCCACACGCCTTTCCCTAGCAAGGGGGGAGGAGGGGATGGTGCAGCTCTTCCAGGGGCTGCCTGAGAGGCCGGGGGCTGGACCAGGGGCTCCTTCTCGGCTGACAGCAGCCCCAGAGGGCATGTGGGGGAGGGGGCAGCGCAGGGAGAGAGGCCGTTGTGGGTAGACCACCCTTGCCAGCATGGAAGGGGGCAGGCCCCCCGGTCCCTCCCTCCCCTCTCCCATCGCCGCAGGCTGCCCCAGGAACCAGCCGGATCCTGCTTCCGAGTGCCAGAGCAGCTGCCCAAGGGAGGCGGGCCCTGGAGAGCCACCCAGAGGGGCCTGGAATCCACTGGGCCAGGGCTCGACCCGCAGCGCCCTCTGAGCCGGACTTGCCTGGTCAGCCCCAGGCCTGACTGCAGTTGCCGGGTGGCTCCGAAGGAGCAGCTGCCGCCATGTGACTCAGAAGGGCTCACTGGGGAAGAGCCAGGTGGCAGTGGCTGCTGGAGACTGGTCCCGGTGCTTGCTGGGTACCCACGGCCAGGACCCTCCCGCTGCCCTGCGAGTGGCTCACCCCAGGAGCTGGAGCCTGGCCTACAGAGGCTGCCCTCCCTTGCACCGCCCTTTCCCGTGCCCCAGGTGGCTCAGCCCAAGGGCCCCCTTCTGCCCCTGCTGGGGGGGTCTCAGGGAACACGGCCACTGGGCCTGGCTGCCTGAGGGGTTTGGGCTGAGCCTGCTGGGCAGGGACAGACATCAGCCGTGCAGCCACTGAGCCCAGGCCTGGCTGGGCAGAGCTGTCCACCTGCCAGGTGCCCCGTGTGGCTAGAGGGAACCATTTGCCAGCCCCCTCCCTGGGCTGGGCAGGCCTGGGGGTGAAGGGGAAGAGGGGCTCAAAGGCCAAATTCTGCAAGCGGAGGTGCCAGCGGCAGCAACACCCACCTGCCAGCCCTGAGGGGCAGCTGCTGGCCTGGTCCTCCTGGAGGGCCCAGCGAGGGAGGACCTTCTGGGAAGCCATCCGCCTGGTGAGGAAGGGGCCTCAAAGCGGCCCCAGTGGGGAAGACCCCTCCCACAGGAAGCTTGTGCAACCGTAGGACTCCTCCAGCCGGGCAGCTGCCCACAGGGGGCCTCCCTGGCTTTCAAGCGGGCACGGCCCCCCCTGCCCTCACAGACAGCCCTCCCTGCCAGAGGGCAGCTGGCCTTCTGTTTGTTTAGCCTGGCTTCCCAGGGGGCAGGGGGGCCGGTGGGAGGCCTCCTTTCGGTTGGTCCCCCTAAACCGTGAGGAGAATGGGGGGGGGTCAGCAGAAAGGGAGGGGCGGTGTGAGGGGGGGTTGGTCTTCATGGAGGTCATAAGGCTGAGGAGCTCAGAAGGCCGAGGTCACAGCAAGGGGTCTCCCAGTGCTGGTGCCCCAAGCTGTGGGGTTTCCTCCTGTCCCTCCTGGCCCTGCTCTGCGTGGATGGCGGCCTCCCAGTCCCCATCGCCTCCTGCCCTGCTGCTGCACATGGGCCTGGGAACCTGGTGGGCTCATTGACCGGTGACCACTGAGCTTGGAATGTCCTCCGGATGGCCACTCCCCCGCACTCAAAGGAGCAGCAGCCGGGCCGTCCGTCAGGGGCTCTGGGTGGGAAAGGGGCCTCCAGGCTGTCCTTCCCCTCCCGCCCACCATCGCCCCAGGGCGCCCAGGTGCCCGGCCTCCCCTGCAGATGCTGCTGTCCATGGAGCGGGAGAAGTGTGGGAGAAGAGCCAGCCGCGGTGCCAGCCACCCAGAGGGCACGTGGAGTAGTGCCCAGTGCCCTGTTCCTGACCCTTCCTTGCCAGAGGGGCTTCCCCACTTCCATGTTTGGGAGATTCCGGGCGTTCAGGAACGATGACGATGTGGCCCAGAGGAGACTGGGTTCATCCTGGCCCAGCAGGGGGAATCCGCCCCCGCAGAAGCAGAAGCAGCGGCCGCCACTTCAGGCTGCATCATCAGCGGCTGAAATGTGCTGAATCGAGATTGCAAAACACGCGGGGGGGGGGCGCAGGGGGAGAGCAGCAATCCTTCCTTGAACCTTTGCAGTCTGAGTCACGTGCCCAAGAGGAAACCCCCCAGGCTGGGGGGGGGGTTTCTTTCCGTCCCTTGCAACCCACGGGGAAGAAGCCTCGGAACGGGCCCTTTGACGCTCAACCTCGGGCCCCGCTCCAGGAAGGGCTCCCTTCACAGATCCCCCCGGTTGGGAGGGGTCCTGGAGGTCACCTAGCCCACCCTTGCCCAGAGCAGGAATCTCTCAGAGAAAGGGGATTGTGAGGCGTCCCTCTCTGGGCCTCGCCCGCTGACACTCCAGGAGCCCCAAGGCCGTTTCCCCCCTTTAGTCTCCAGTTCTTGTCTTCCAGGAGTTCAAGCGCCGCCTGCCAATCTCGGCTCCTCCGGTGCTCCTTGAGGACCGAGCCAGCTTTAGCGCTCGGGCGGAGTCAGCCCAGGATCGCCTCGGCCGTTCCGGCAGCTGCAGCGCCAGGCTGGCTCAGGCCGGATGCCCCGATCCCTCCCGGGCCGCTCCAGCCTGTCCCGCGGCGTCTGCAGAGGCTCCGTGCCAGCCATCTCCGTCGCGCACCCTTCCCTCTGGAGAAGGCTGCGGGGCGCTGGGTCCCGCCGGAGCCCCCCTCCCGGGAGGAAGGCCCCGGGGACCGCGGAGGGAGGCCGGCCTGCTCGGGGAGGCGGGCTCGCTTTCCGCCCGGGCCGCGTGCCAGTCCGGCTGCTGGGGCGGCGGGGGCGGGAGGAGGGGCGGTGCCCGCCGCTGACTTCATCCCGGCTTCCTGGCCGGCGGGCGCAGCGCCTATAAAGCCAAGCGCGGGGCGGCGGGAGCGCACCGGCAACGAGTCCAGGAGCCGAGTAAGCAACGGGGTCGCCTGCCTCATTAGCCCAACCGACGGCCGCTTCTTCCCGGCCGGCCTGGCGGAGGAGGTGCCGTCGCTCCTGCTCAGAGGAGGGGGCTGGGGGATCCCCGTGGGCCGGTTCTGGGCTGGGATAAGAGCCAGGCGGCGCTCCCTCCCTCCCGCCGCCCCGCGCCGATTGACCGCCTTCTTCTCCCGGCAGGATGGAGCTGTGGTCCCCGCTGTTCGTGGCCTGCCTGGCCCTCTCGCACGCCGCGCTCCCCCCTCCTGGCCGCCAAGGGGCCCGCGTGGCCCAGCTCTCCGCGGACTTCGGGGTGCGGGTGTTCCGCGAAGCGTCCAAGACCTCCCAGGAGCAGAACCTGGCCTTCTCCCCCCATGGGGTGGCCTCGGTGGTGGCCATGCTGCAGGCGGCGTCGGAGGGGAAGACCCTGGCCCAGATCAAGGGCGCCATGGGCTTCGGCCTGAGAGGTGAGGGGCTGCAGCGGGGATGGCACTTGCTCTCTGGGCGGATCCCGGGGGAGGGGCAGCCTCCTTGGGCGCCTGACCTCTCAACCTGCACCTGGGAGCAGGTGGGCCAGGAGAGCTCCAGGGGCCGGCAGGTCCTGCCTGAAGAGCCCAGGGAGGCTCTGGGGCTCCCTGAATGAAAGCGGGCTGGGGGTGAAGGCCCACCTCACCCTCCGACAGGCCAACTCTGCTCCCCCCAGAGCACCTGCCCATCCCTGGCGGGTCAGGAGGGGGCCTGGCTGTGGGCTCCAGCTGAGCGCACTCTCTTCCCCCCAGAATGGGGCGTCCCACGAGCCCTGCGGCTGCTGCAGAAGACCCTGAGCGGCCCCTGGGGCAAGGACGTGGTGCAGATGGCAGACGCCCTGTTTGTGCAGCGTGACCTGCCCCTGGCGCCCACCTTCATGCTGCGCTTCCGACGACTTTTCCACCAGATGGTCAAGCAGGTGGACTTCTCGGACAGCGCCCGGGCACGCGAGGTGGTCAACGCCTGGGTGGAGCAGCACACCAATGGTGAGCAGCGGTAGGGAGGGCTCCCTCGGGAGACCAGGCAGACTCTGCCCTGGTCCCCCCGGCTGGAAAACCCGGCTGAGGCGCTGGATTCAGGCCGGGGCTGAAGCCAAAGGGCCTCTGGGCCTGGAAGCTTGCCCAGCCGCCCCCTCCCTTGACCGCCTCTGCTTCCTCAGGGATGATCCGGGGCTTCCTGCAGGAGGGCACCCTGGGTGCCCTGACACGCCTGGTGTTGGCGAACGCCATCCACTTCAAAGGCCTCTGGCGGCTTCCCTTCCCCGAGGCTGCCACTCGCCAGCGTGTCTTCCACAAGCTGGACGGCAGCACCGTCGTGGTCCCCATGATGGAGCAGACGGCCGAATTCAACTACGGTGAGGAGCGATGGGGGCAGTTTTGGCTCTTGGGCCTGAGCCAGCTGGAGGGAGCTTCTCTGAGCGTGTGCAGAGCCCCTCACCCTCCCCCCTTCTCCCCCAGGTGAATTCTCCACCCCAGAGCAGGGGGACTACGATGTCATCGAACTGCCCTACCAGGGGGAGATGCTGAGCATGCTCATCGCTAGCCCCTTCCAGCGGGACGCCCCCCTCTCGGCCCTGGTGGCTGCAGTCGACCCCCGCCTCATCGCAGAGTGGAAAAGCAACATGTCCGCGGTGACCCGGCTCCTCGTCTTGCCCAAGTAGGGGACGCTTGGGGCAGGCTCAGGCCACCAACCCCGCAGAGGCCCTTCGGCCCTTCACTGACCTTTCCTTCTCTGTAGGTTTTCTCTGGAGAGCGAAGTTGACCTCCGTGCGCCACTGGAGGCCCTGGGCATGACGGACATGTTTGATTGCGAGAAGGCCAACTTCAGCCGTCTCTCAGGTCGGGGTCTCTCCTCCTCTATGCCGCTTTTGGCTCGTCATCCCCCAGGGCGGGCTGGCTGCAGGGAGCCTGGCGGGGCTAAAGCCCAGGGAGAGTGGTATTGGGTCCCTGGGTGCGCACAGGGTGCTTTCCCTGGAGCCCATCAGCTCCGGCGTGAGAGAGGCCTGGCAGCCCTGGCTGAAGCAGGCAGGCAGCCTGTATCCAGCTGTGGCTCAGCTGCCCCCACCCCCCCACTGGGCCTGCATAAGGGAGGGGTGCTGCCCGTGCAGAGGACCTGGGAGCAGGGGGGAAATCCAGCAGGTTCTGGAGAAGTTGGGAGGGAATGGGGATTTTGCAGGATCCTTCCCCTGCCACACCCACCAAGCCCACAGAACCCATGGTTTAAAAAAATTTCCAATATTTTTTTTTATTTTTAAACATAAAAGACAACATAAAAAAAAACTCCCCAACCATTACACACAGCATGTCGTTTGGATGCATTTGTGCATCCATGTTTTCAATCACAATCACAGATTTTCCGCCTAATATAACCAGACACTTTCATTGTACAATTGGGAAAAAAGAAAAGAGGAGAGTTAAAAATCCTGAATTTCACCACCGCTTGGGAGCCAATCGTGCTGACTGACCCTCCCTCCCTCCCTTTGCAGGGCAGGATGGCCTCTTTGTGTCCCGGGCGCTGCAGAAAGTGAAGATTGAGGTGAACGAGAGTGGCACCGAGGCCTCTTCTGCCACAGGTGGGTGCCCTGGGGCACTGCAGGGGCCCTTCTCTGGTTCTTTTTAACTGAGGAGAAAATACACACTCGCTCACACTCTTTGAGGCTTCCTAACATGCACAGGGGGGGGGGTTTGCTCTGAAGTGGGTCCCCCTCACGGCTCCCCCCCCCAGGAGCCCCAGGAGGAGGTGAGGGCTGGGCACTCTGTGGGGGGGGGGGGCAGGGTGCTGCTGCTGCTGCTCCCTGAAGCTGCCAGTCAAAGGGGGAGCTGCTGAACGAGGCCCCCTCCTCCCTCCCTTCCAGTGGCCATCGTCTATTCCCGCATGGCGCCCTTGGAGATCGTGCTGGACCGGCCGTTCCTTTTTGTTGTGCGGCACAACCCAACCGGTAAGCCCCCCCCCCCCGAGGCCCCTTCCTCCCACCCGAGACTTCAGGGTCTCTTCCGAAGGGGCTGCAGGGCCCCAGGGAAAAATCAACTCACTTCCTCCCCCCGCATCAAATGGAGGAGGGCTTCCCTTCAGCCGGGACCCCATCCCCAGCGCCAGAGGGGGCTCTGCTGCCCGTGTGCCAGCACAGGCCGAGGGAAACCCCTCCATGGTCTAGTCCGGCAGCCGCAGGAGGGTCCCAAAGTTAGCCAGGGGGGACTAAATTGGGGGGGCTGAGTGTCAGGAGGCACGGCTGGTTGTGTGAACTGGCTCTTGCGCTAAGCCTTCACGGGATAGATTTGCTTGGCACCCCTGCGATGCCAACACAGCCGTGGCTCGGGTGACCCAGGTTTAGGGTGGAGCCGCTTTGCAACCCAGCCAATCTGAGCCGCAGGGAAGACCTTCAAGGTGGGGGGGGGAGAAACCTGTTTGGGTCTCTCCTGCCCATTCTGGTGGGGGTGGCAGCTCAGAGATGGACCCTGGGACTAGAGTGCCCCTTCTGCCCCCCCTCCCCTATTGTACCTCTTCCGCCTGGATAGCTATCCAGAGATCCAAGTGGGGCGGGCAGCCAGAGTGCTCCCTCCCTCCAACCATGGTTCAGCTTCAGCTGGAGGCTGCTGGTGTGCAGGGAGCAGGTTCTGGCGCCTGTTTTAGGCCAGCCCAGGAGGCTCCCAGCCCCCTTCTGTACCCGCTCCGCCCCCCCAGCGAAGGAAGAGGGCAGAGCCAGCCCCGCTTTGCCCCCCCCCCCCACTGCCGGCCTCCCGTAGCTTCTCTGTTCCTCCCACAGGGACCATCCTCTTCATGGGCCAGGTGATGGAGCCCCAGCCATTGGGCCTCCCTCTGAAGTGAAGAGGACCTCCGTGCCAGCGGGATGATCTACCACCAGTCCCCTCGTGGAAGTCGCTTCTGCCCGGCCTCCTCCCTGGCATGTCCCGCCACTTCTGGCATCTAGGACACTTGTGCGAGGACCAGGCGCCGGTCCAGGCTGGAGGGGGCCTGCAGGCGCAGCAGGGGAGCTCTGCCAGCCGCCCTGAAGGAAGCCTGGAGAGAGAAGGGGCCACCGTGGACGCCAGCCTCGCCCGGGCACAGCCCCTTCGCCCTGCACCCGGGAGCCGCTCTCTCCTCCCCTTCTGGGGCTCCGTCTGGACTGGACGCACTTTGGGACTAAAGAGAAACTTAATATATGCAGATGTTTTGTCTTATTTTTGTACATTAAAAGAATGCACCGCCACCCCCACTGACTCGCGTGCCTTTGGAGGGGGGCCGGGGGGGGGGCGCGACTGCAGGGGGCGGGGAGGACGCGGGCCCCGCCTCTCCCGGGTTCTGGGGCGGGGCGGGCGGGAGCTCCCGCTGACGTCACGGCAGGGCGTCTCCCGCGTCTCCCGGCAACCGCCCGGGCCCGGAAGTGCGCGCTACGAGCATGCGCGGCCGGAGGCACCTGGGCAGGTTAGGGCGGAGAGGAAGCGGCTGCCGGGCCCGCGTGGGACGCCCCCCCCCCCGCCGCCGCCGCCGCCATGGTGAGGAAGGGGGGCGGGAGGGGGGGCCGGGCGCCGCCCGGGCAGCAGGAGACGCCCGAGGAGGCCCGCGTGGCTCCGGCGTCGGCGGGCGCGGCTCTCCGGGGCCTTCGGGCGGGCGGAAGCAGCGGGGCCTCTGGCGGGCACCTCCCGGGCCGCCCTGGCCCCCCTCCCCCAAGGTCCTGGGGGGGCGACCTTTCTGTCCCCTCCCGCGTCCGTCAGGCTCCCTTCCTCCTCCGCGGTGCCCGCTCGGGGCCTTCCCCGCTGCTCCCGGCCCTCCTGGGCTCCTCCATGGGGAGGAGGAGGAGGAGAGTGGCGGCCCTGCCTCCCCCGGGCTCTCGGCCCCTCCCCTCCCGGGCCTCCCTTGCCCCCCCCCACCGCCCCCACGTGAAGGGACGGCCTCGGGGCTGCCCAGGGGGCTCTGGGGGCGCTGACACCCCCTCCCTGTGTGCCCTGCAGATGCGCTTCATGCTGCTCTTCAGCCGGCAAGGGAAGCTGCGCCTGCAGAAGTGGTACCTGGCCACCTCCGACAAGGACAAGAAGAAGGTGGTGCGGGAGCTCATGCAGGTGGTGCTGGCCCGCAAGCCCAAGATGTGCAGCTTCCTGGAATGGAGGGACCTGAAGGTGGTCTACAAGAGGTGACTTCCTCTGCCCGGGGGAGGGAGGGGCAACCGGCCTGTGAGGCCTCCTCCTCCTCCTCAGGCCCCCCCTGCCTGCCTCCTGGGGGGGGGGAGCAGCTTCTGGGAGATGCGGTGGGAGAGGGCCCCCCCTTTGCGGCCTCTGCACACCTGGCTTCCCCTCTGCATCACTGGAGGAACAGCTGGTGGAGGCCTGGAGGGGGTTTGCTCCTCCATAGGCCTTGCCTGGGCTATGAGCCAGAAGCAGCCTGGCTATTTGGTGAACAGGGGCTTCCCCCAGGAAGGGGGAGAAGAGCCAAGGGACGCCTACCATAGCCACATCCTGTGCTTCCCTGCTCCTTCCCCTTCATGCTGTGGGACAGCAGAGGGCCGAGCCCCACACGCTCACCTCCCATTGGGGGGGGGGTGTCTGGGGCAGCGAGGGGGGTCCGTTCTCGTGCCTTCTGCCTCCCGGGTCCTGCTGCAGACGGCTGGGCTGAACAGGGAAGGTGGCCACCCTTCCCCAGTGCCGCTCTGGACAGACCAGCTTCCCTGCTGAGGAGGGGGCTGCTCCTCCGGTTGGGGTGGGCTTCATCCCAGAGAGGCCAAGAGCCTTGAGAGGAGAGGACCGTTGAAGTCCCTGAAGGGCTAACATGAGTGCATGTGAATTCTTGGTGGTCCCCCATTCTCCCCCCCCCCCGAATGCTGCTGGGTGCTTCAGCAGGGGGAGGGGGGGTGCTGTGGGGCAAGGGAGTGACTCCTCCCTCTCTCCGGCCCAGGTATGCCAGCCTGTACTTCTGCTGTGCCATCGAGGGGCAGGACAATGAGCTGATCACCCTGGAACTCATCCATCGATACGTGGAGCTGCTGGACAAATATTTTGGCAGTGTGAGTCCAAGGGAGTCTCGGCTTTCCTTTCTTGCCCTGGCCCAGCCGCTTCCTCGCTCCCCCCACCCCCCCCCCCTTGTGCTCCAGGCCGGCCCCCTGGGCAGCCCTCCTGTTCCTGCCCCTCCGTGGCCTCTGGGACCCTGGCTGTCGCTAGGCCTGCCTGCGTTTCCTCCGAGCCAGGAATTGGGCTGGCAGCTGGGCACTCCAGTTTCCCCACAGATCCTGAGCAAAGCCCCCCCCCCTCCCTGCCTTCCTTCTGCCCCTCCTCCCCCTCCCCAGGTGTGTGAACTGGACATCATCTTCAACTTTGAGAAAGCCTACTTCATCCTGGACGAGTTCCTGATGGGGGGGGAGGTGCAGGACACCTCCAAGAAGAGCGTCCTGAAGGCCATTGAGCAGGCAGACCTCTTGCAGGAGGTAGGGGCTGCGTGAGCTGGGGGGGGGGAGGCAGGCTGCTCTGCTGCACCCACTGCCAAGGGCTGCGGGGGGGGGGAGGAGGAGGAGGAAGAACACCCCCCCCCCAGCCCCTCGCTTGCTGCATGCCATGAGTCACCGCAGGCAGGCTCTGCTCGCTCTCTCTGTGGGCGACTCGGCTGCCGTGAACAGTGAGGAGGGGGGCAGCCGTGGCCATCGGGCTCCTGTGGGGCTTCTGGCACCTGGGATGGCTGCCTTGCTGGGATAAATTCCGCCAGCCAGCCGAGCACGTGCAGAGTGCCTTCTCTGGGGAAGAGGGGTTTGCGAGCAGCGTGCGGAGTTCTCTAGCTTGACCCCCCCCGCTCCCCTTTTTGCCCTGCAGGAGGATGAGTCTCCCCGGAGCGTCTTGGAGGAGATGGGGCTGGCGTAGCTTGGCTCCATTCAGAATCTCGGGCCGTCCTCCCTCGCCGCCCCGCCTCTCCCCTCCCCCACTGCGGATACCGACTCCCGGGACTCCGGCAGGTGGGCAGCTGGGCTCTGCAGCCACCCGGCTCCGGGGCAGGAGGACACGGGGCAGTCTCCGTCATGGTCCCGGGTGCTGGCAGTGAACGGCTCTCCTGCGACCTCCTTCATCACCCCCTCGTCCCTTCCTGCCCCTTTTCACGCCCGCAGCCTCCGCCTGCTGCCGCCGACTGGCCCCGGACAGAGCCCATGGCGTCCCCCCCCCCCCCGGGGCCATATTGGGAGGCCCCAAGGAACAGCAGCTTCCCCGCACTTGAAGGCTGCCCTCAGGGGGGGGGGTGTTTGGGGGTGTCTCTTTGCCCTGCTGGCGCTTCTCTCCGGCGCAAGGAATGGGGGGGGAGGGGCTTCCCGGGTTCCCTGGAATAAAAGGTGTCTGGAAGAGTCTGGCCTGGTGGTCTTTTTATGCAGGGTCCCAGGAGGGACGGCAGAGCGGAAGGAGGCAGGCAGGCGCTGCACACGCTCTGTTCTTGCCCTGGGGGGAGGGGCGTGGAGGGGGGGGCACTCCTGGGCCGGGGGTCCCGGCTGCTGCTCTGTTGCCAGTGGGGAGGTTCAGCCAGGGAGCCCCTGCGGCTGGCCCTGGAGACCTCCCAAGTGGGGGGGGGAGGAGAGGAGGGGGGGCAAGCAAACCCAGGAGACCCTGGCAGCCACTTGACTCCTCCTGCCACGGGGCATCTCGCCTCGCATGAGGGCACAGCTGGGAGGGGGGCGGTGGGCAAGGGGGGCGGCAGAGCAGAAGGCTGGAGGTGCAGGGAGGCGCCCAGTGTGCTTCTCCTCCCTCTCGGTCAGCCGAGGGGCCGGCTGAGAAGGGAAGGGGGAGCTCTGCAGGGGGCCTCCTAGTGGCCTCTTGCTTCCAGCCGTCGCGGGCTGGGTCAACCTGAGGAGAGGTTGCATTAAATTGCATTAAAGTACAAATTGCATTAAAGTAAGAGAGGCTCCCCTTCAAACAGCTCCTCTGCTCCCCCTTGCTGTCCTCCCACTTCATGGGGGCCCTGCAGCCACTCGACTTGCTTCCCAGAGCAGCTGAGAGAGACACACGTGGGAAACAGAGGTGGCCACTGGAGGAGCGTTTCAGAGTCCCCCTGGGTGGAACGTGGTCCTCTCTCCGACGTACATGGGGCCCATCTCACAAGCGACTTGACAGGATATGGAGAGCAAAACCCTCCAGTTGCAGAAGAGAAAGGGAACTCACCCCCACCTCCATCCTGATTATAAAAATGGGCCTCTGCAGTCCGGCCAGCTGCTGGCCTAACTTTAAGGAAGGCTGAAGGGCCGGAGTTGCCCAGATCTCCAGGAATGCTGCTCCCCACCCCACCCACCCCCCGCAAAAAAGGGCAGGGCTCCTGGCTTCAGCAAGAGGATGTTGTTTCCCAGAGGGGCCCCAGAACGCAGCCTCTGTACTACGCCTTGGGGGGGCACCTAGAAGCCTGTGGAAGAGCCCCCCCCCCAGCAGCCCAAAAGCCAGTCTCCAAGGAGTTGCTCCTGAGGTGGCAGCTGGACTGGCCTCTTGGCTGCCAACCTTCCTCCGGCCATTGCGGGGGGGGGGGCTGCTAGGCAGCTGCCGAGGCTGAACCCATGAGCAGCCCCGGGGCCCCCTCTCTTCCATGGCCCTCCTCCCAGTAAGGCCCCTCCCACCAGCACCCACCCCTACGCTGGGGTCTCTCTCTCCGCACTGGGCCCCTCCCCAGCTTTCTTTCCTTCTGGCAGAGCTGCCTCCGCTCCCGCGTGAGATCCCGGATGGCAGGGCAGGCAAACCGGGAGCCCCTCCCCAGGGCAGCTCCTGGCCTCTCTCCCCTTCCCGGTGCGGCAAGGCCTGAGGCTTCGCAGCTGGTGCCGCTCTGGGGAGCCCTGGAGGTTCCTCTGGGAGGCGTCCTGGTGCCCCAAGGCCAGCGCCTCTGCCCTGCTCCCATCTGATGCCGGCCGGGCGAGAGTGGGCCGGCCCTTGCCACTCTGCACGCGCCCTCAGGAGGCACCGTGGGGAGCTACCACGTTGTAGCAGCACCTCCCAGAGCTGCTCCTGGTGGGATCCTGCATTGGGGGCAGAGGCCCATCTGGCCCGTAGCCCACCAATTTGCAAATAATGAGAGTAACTCATAATAAAATAGTTGCTTTTATTTCTTAGCAAAACTAGTAATTCGACATGCTATTTACAACAGGGCAAATGTGTTTTATTTCAAGTACAACAAAATGGACATCGAAACAACGTCTTCTGCTTGCTTGTACAGGACTGGACGTCACGAACTGAAGAAACTTGCACACTCTGGGACTGATGTCAGTGGGGAATTCTCACACGCGTGCAAAGTGCCTCCTCCGCCTCCGGTGCTCACCCAGGTGGATCCCTCCGGCAGGCGGCTCTGGATGGTCATGAATGGTCACAAGCAGGTCTACTGAAACATGCTGAGTCCCAACCCCACCCCCACCCCCACCCCTTGCGGGGGGGTCCCTTGGCTCTGGGTGCGGAATACCAGCGTGGTGCTCGCGCGGCTCCTCGGTGTCAGCCCAGGAGCCGGGGACGGCCGCCTGGTGCCTCTGTCCCAGATGGCCAGGGGGCAGCCAGAAGGAATAAAGGATCCCCCGCCCCTCCTCCCTCCCTCTCACTGCCATCCCCCTTGGGCCCTTTTCCATCTCCACCACGGGAGGCAGAGCCCCTCCAAGAAGTGGTCGGCCTGATTCGAGGGCAGAATGGAAAGCGCAAACTCAGCTCCGCCAGGAAGCCTGGCCTTGGGCCTCTAATCCACGGAAGGTGGAACGACACGCAGGCCGAATCGGCAGACGCCACGGGGGGAAATCTTTACCCAGCCTTATTTCCTGCCCCTCAAACCAGTTGTGAAAAAATTGGTTTGCATCCCTTGAGATTCCCTTCAAACTGGGGGGGGAAAGCCGATGTGTGTTAGGAGGGACAGCATAAACGGAGCCCAAGGACTTGGGTTAGCCGCTCCGGCTGTGCTCCTAAGGCCCCCCCTCCCTTCACCCGGGGACGTTCCAAGGGAAAAGGGCCCCAGGCGGCGCTTTCTAGCTTCGGGGTTGCCGTGAACGTCCCCCGTAGCCAATGCGGAGAGTCTGCAGAGCGAGACGGGTGGGAAGTTGCGTCTCCTCTCTGATTAGGCTGTGACCAAAAGCGGATTAGAGAAACCAGTTCGGTGTGTGGTTAAGGCTTGGGGCTAGATACCAGGAGATGGTGAGTTCTAGTCCTGCCTTAGGCACAAAGCTGCCTGGGCGACCTTGGGCCAGTCGCTTTCCTGCAGCCCTAGGAAGGAGGGAGGAATGGCAGTCCAGTTCTAAAAGATCTTGCCAAGAAAACTGCAGACGGACTCTGGGAGCTCCCGTCCAGCTTGAGACATGGGAGGGCAAGTGGATAGGGATTATTTAGGAGGTGGGTCTTTGTGGCCCCACCCAACTCCCCCCTAATTCTTTTCTGCCACTTCTTCTGCAAGTGCCATGGAATGGGGGCTTTTGGGAGTTCTGCCAACCAGGGGTGGGAGGGGCAACCGGCATTTTCACCCGAAGCTGCTGCTCCCCTGGGAGGAAAGTGCGTGTGGTGTGTCCTCTGCTGCCCTTGCTTACAGTTCCTCCGGGGAGGGGGTTAAGGGGGGGGGTTGTGGGAAGGGGGTCGCAGGTTGCTCAGAGAGGCTCCTTTAGGCTGGATGTCGGGGGGGGGGGGAAAGGAAATTCCCCTTTCCCCCAGTGGAGGGCGGCTGTCTGGAGTCAGGTGAAGAGGGAGGGAGGGAGGGAGGGGCGCTGGCTGCCCCCAGGCACCGAATCTTGGGACCTTTCAGCAGGTGGGGAGATTTGGTTCTCCTGAATCATGCAAGAACCCAGACTTATGTCAGAAACACTGAGGGGCCAAGTTTCGAGGGGTGGGGGAGGGGGGGGGGGGGGGGGAGAAGGGGCTGCCGCCACCTTCACTAGAAGCCCCTGGGGTGCTTCATCAGCAGGCCCTCCAGGTAGTTCTCCAGGTCCTCATCGTGGGCCTGGATGTCATAATAGCCGTCCCGTGGCCCCAGGGGGCCCGGCAGGGTGTGGTAGTGGTGGTAGGCTGGCGTTTGGAAAGTCCGGGGGTTGATGTGGTTGGAGAGCTTGGCGCTTCTGTCCTTGGCCTGGTGCCGCTTGGGCACCGGGAACTCGTTCCCTTTCAAGACTTCGTTCCAGGCGGCCTCCTCCTGCTTGGGGAGGTGGCGATACGGCTGGAAGGCCCTGCCGATGGGGTGGGAGGCCTCTTGGTGGGCACTGGGGCGAGGGGGGGCCTTCTTGGGTTTGCTGTGGGGCGGCGCCAGGAGCTGCTTCCCCTTCAGGCTGGGCTCCGGCTCCTTTTTCTCCACGTGGTTAATGATGTCAATGACGTCATCAGCAGGCAAGTGCAGCTTGCTGGACAGCTCAATCAGGCGGTCAATGGTGTTGGGGTCGATGTCCTCCTCCTCCTCCTCCACCCCCTCCGGGGTCTCGTTGGACCGCTTGTCTTCAGCCACGTTGTCTTCCCCGTCTGCAAAGAGGAGGGAGCCCGCCTTGCTTCCTCCTTCTCCTTCTTCGGAGTCCTCCTGGGCGGCGGCCCCTCGCTGGCCTTCGCCGTCCTCGTCTTCTTCACCATCCTTCAGCAGGTACTGGAGAAGCAGGTCAGAGGCCATGTCTGCCAGGCGCTCTTCCTCAGCGGCAGCCCTGCGGGCCTCCTCTGCCTGCCTCCGGCTCTCGGCCAGCTCCTCGTAACGGCGCTGCAGGAGCTGGTGCTCCAGATGCTGCTGCTGCCTCAGCTTCCGGGCCCCGGTCCAGGGCTCCTGGGCGGGAGGCGCCTTGCGCTTAATGTTGAACTTGAGCTGCTGGTATTCTTCCAGTTCCTTGAGCATGTCGTTGGGGTGGGGCCCCCCTTGGGGAGACTGGGTAGGGGGCATCTGGTGCCCGTAGGAAGGTTCCTCTCGCTTGTCAATGGGGCTGTAGTGTTGCAGCTCCTTCAACATGGACTCCAGGTTCTCCATCTCCGGCTGATCCAAGATCCTCTCCTCGGCCTCCTCCTCCTCTCGTGGCGGTTGGTCTCTGTCCTTGTCGGACAGCCAACCCGGCAGGCTCTCCAGCTGCACATCGGAGCTCCGGGCCTCACTCCGGACTCGCTCCTCGTTGGCACCAGGCTTGGGGCTTAGGGGTGTCTCCTTGGAGTCCTGGGGTGCAATCTGAAGTGCTTGGAGGAGGACGGCAGCCAGGGCCTTGGGATCCATGTCTTGGAAGAGCTCCTCCCTGCTGCCCTTCTGCTGCCCAGCGTCTGGGCCCATCTCTGCCCACTCTTTGTTGGACCCTTCTGGAGCTTCACCCAACTGGCCCTCCAGGCCATGAGGAAGGGGGGCAGCCAGCTGGCGATGGCACTGCACCCAGAGGCAGAGGAGAAGGATCCACGTCCCTCTGCGGAGAGGCTGGGGCCAAAGCATTACGGTGCACCACTGGAAGATCTGTGGGGGGAGGGGGGGAGACAGACAAGGGGGCAAGGTCAGAGCTCAAATGTCCCAGGAGCAATGAAAACACGAAGGACCTCCAGAGTGGTTGGCAGAAGGAGCCGGCTGGGCTCTCCCACTCTTGTCAGAGGTGAGGTGAAACCTCTCCCCACCCCACCCCCACCCCCGTTAACTGCTTGGTATGGTTGGCTAAAGGAATTTTCGTCAGCTGCACAATTAAGGCGGGATGCCATCTGCATGGCACATGGGTCGCAGAGTGACTCCTCGGGGTGGGTGGATCTGCTCCCTGCAGATGGGCCTGCTGGCCAGCACTGTCTCCGGGGGGCCCCTTTTGTCTGAAGGCCTCCCGGAGGGCACACTGGCAAGGGTTGCCCATGGCTGGGGCAGGAAGTCGGGGGGGGGGGCGACCCTCAAGAACGATCCCAGAACAGCCGCAGCTGGAGAGAGCCACAGCTGTCATCTTCCCTGCGCCACGGAGGGGCAGAGCTCCAAGGAAGGTGGTACCTCCCCCACCGCCCACGAGTCTGCACTCACACCTCCTGCCTTCTCCACAGAGCATGTTGGGGGAGGGGGGGCTCCCTCATTTGAAACGAATTACTGTTATTGTTGCTCCTTGTCAGCTCCTCCCAGGCACCCGTTCTGCCCAATCCTCTGGGAGTGGACCCCCTCCCCAATAGAATGCCTCTCTTCGGAGAATGGGCTTCATGTGTGCCTCACCTGGTTTGTGTGTGTGTGTGCGCGCGCGCGTGTGCATGCGATGCTTCTGTCTCTGCCCCTTTCCGTGATTTTGGAAGGAGCAACTCAATTATCACCCACCCCAGCCAGTCCTCCCCCCCCCCGCAGTTCCTGGTGCAGGTGGTCCTCTGGAGGGGCGAAAGGAGCAGCCTCCCCTCAGCCGAGCAGCAGCAGACCGCTCTGCAGTGCCCCCACCCACCGCCCCTGCTGGCAGGGAGCGCTGGGGAAACGCAGCGTCGACCCCCTCCCCTCCAGATCCCCTCCGGAGGTCCAGCTTCCTTTCGCCCGTCCTCCTCTAGGATCGACTTCGACCTCTCAGCCGCGCCCCAGAGCCATCCGTGCCGCCGATGGGATTCAGCCTCTCCGAGATCTCTCTTAAGCAGCCCTGGCGGTTTCCGCAGTGTTTACCCCGAGCGACGCCTCCCTATTCTCCCTGGAGACCCTCTGGGAGTCGACCCCTCCGCCTCGCCACTCCTTCCTGCTTCCCCGAAAACAAGAAGGAGCCAGATCCCCCATGGGGCCCGCCCTCCCCCTTCTCCCGGGAGCCCCGGTCAGTCGGGTTGATACATTGGTGTCCCTCCCGCTTGAATTCCGGAGTGACGCAAGTTTTTCCCTGGCCCCGGCCGTGTCCACCTTCGGAAGGCTCGGCGGTCTGGCTCCGTCGCCCGCAGTCCAGGCTCTCCCACCCTCGCCGACCGGCTTCCTCCTGACAGCAGCTCGCGTGGTTCGCTCGCCTCTCGTCCCCAGCCAATTCCCTCCCCGCCACCCCGGGTGGATGGGCGAGGGCGGTGGTCGTCCTCCCGCTCTTCTCGGGAGAGGGCACTCCCGCTCGCCCGCCAGCGCTCACCGGCGTTTCTCTGTGGTCCGGCACGGAAGAGCGCCTTATCGGCTCGGGTGTAGCTGCGCCGCCGGGGGCTCCACCCTTTCACCGGTCCGCCGTTCGCCTTCGCCTTCGCCGCCGCCTGCCTTTCCCGGGCGTTGCTCTCCGCGGGATCCAAGCCTTTCAGCACCTTGGACAGCGGCGGGGCTGGGCGGCTGCTTTTGTACTCCCAGCCCGGCCCACGTGGGGGGCTCTATTGACGTCAATGTTCATTCATAAAATTCGAGCAGGATTGGAGGGGAGTTCCGCGCCTGCGCGACATGGAAATCATCCTTTCGAGTGAAGAAGTGAATGGCTGCCTCTGGCTGAATGAATGAGAGCGGAGTGGATGAATGAAGGACTAGAACGGGAGCAGCGGTGAGGGAGAAAGCCGCAGGAGAGGCGAGGCGTGGATTTGGTGAATGAATGAGACACTCGGAGGGAAGGGTGGGAGGGGCAGAGACCCGGGGAGACCCCGAGGAATCTATTTCCAGGTCTTCACGGGGGCTTCCCCGTTGCCCGAGCCAAGAAACGGAGCCGTGCATTGTTTTCGAGCCGCGTCGGCGATGCGAAGACCCTGCCTTCTCAGAAAGCTGACGGCGGCCCCCCGGGGGGGTGGGGGATCATCGGCGGTCATGCGCGGGCGGGGCGGAACTGCGGGCACGCGCGCTGAGGTCCCTCTGCGTGCACTCCGTGTTCCGCGTGCCAAGCGCTGTGTCGGGAGGCCTCCGGAGCGCGCAAGTGATAGGATAGGGACCTCAGTTGGTCTTTTATTTCGGCGCAGCGGTCCTCGGTGCGCCTTTTGCCAGTGCCCGAGCGGAGTCTTCTGCCTTGCCTTGACTCGCCTACCTGCCGCTGCAGAACCCTCCGGCCCACCCGTGCTTACCTTCAGCTCCGCGTCTCGCTTCGTTTCTTCTTCCTGCCCGCTCTCTCTGCCCTGCCCTCTCAGGCGCGACCTCTTAGATCCGTACAGGGAGGCCTTTGCGAGGCTTCGGAAGAGGGTGAGTCACCTGCCCTCCCCCTGCAGTCCTGGCGGCTCTCCCCTCCCATTCCCTCTTCCGTGTCCTTGGGGGTGAGGAAAGCTGCGCTGTCTTCTGCATTTGTCACCCCTCACCTCGGAACTACGACGGAGGGGCTTCGCAAACCCCGGAATGTGCTCAAACCAAAAGACTCCCCGCTTCTCCCCCTCAGTCATCGGAACAGGGTGTGCTTGCGGGAGGGGGAGGGGGGAAGCCGCGATGGCTTGTCTTCCTTTCTTATGAATCTGGCTTGCTCCACTTGGAGCAACGTCAACTCCTGCCAACTATCTGTTTACAAGCCAGGAGCTTCCGTGACTGAGACTGGACAGGAAACACAAAAGGCTGATGAGACGCAGCTTTCGAGGGAGCAGGGCTCTCCCTCTCCCCCTCCCTCCCCCTCTCTCTCCCTCCAACGCTGGAGGTGAAAGAATCCTCCAAAGAGCCACGGCGTCCTTCGATGGTCTGAAAAGGAGGAAAGGCCAGGTGGCCCCTTGGCATCAGGCTTTCCAAACAGTGCCAGATGCAGCCCCATTCCACAGGAAAGGCCCTGCCCGTCTAGCCCAGTCTTCCCAACTAAGTGCCCTGCAACCAGAGGGCAATCTGGCTGAAGGTTACGAGGACTGAAGCCTTACCCAGCTGGAGGACGGCTTTGGAAGCCCAGGAGAGAAATTCAGTGATGCCTCTTCTCCCCCTTCCTTTGGCCACACAGCACTGTATATTCCCGGGCAACGAGTCCATGCACCAAGGAGAGCCCAACATTTAAGAGGAATTCTGACCAACTGTAACAGCTTCGAGGAGGGGGGAGGGGGAGGATGGTTCAGGGGACTAGAAACAAGATCTCGGGGAGGAAGATGGAAGGGATGGAAACGTTTTAGCCGCGAGGGAAAAGGGCTAAGGGGAGATAGGATAACAATCTGCGAGCGCTGAGAGAAAGTCACCGAGAGAAAAAAGGAGATGGATTCTGATAACTCCAGAACAGAGTCACGATGATCTAAGTGACGGGCAGGTGGATCCACTGAATCAACGGGAGAGAAAACTTCCTTCCCAACAGGAAGGGCAAGTGGATAGGGGCCACAAAGGGGCTGGAAATGAGCCTTTCGGTTGAAGAGCCCAATTCCAGCCCTCCGACGCCCCACAGTGTTGGTTCCATTCGTCCCTCTTTCCCTTTGGGAGGGAGGGATCTCTGGAGCATCGGCAGAAAACGTCCTGGGCTTCTGCTGCCAGAACCTCTGAAGGGCTCCTGCTGGGCGATCCTAAACTTGCACGCACTGCAGGGGCCCCCAGAGGACTCTTCCCTGCCTCAACTCTGATGCTCTACGCTTTTTCTGCTACATTGGATGTCGAAAGAGCATCCAGCAGCAAGAAAAAGGAAGACCAACAGGAAGGCTCTGCTGCTTGGCTGGGTGGAGCTGGGGGAAGCCAAGCAAGGAGGCAGGGGGGCTAAAACCTCCAGGCCACTGAAGGAGTCCTAAGGCAAGCGTGGCTCCGCCCTCAAGGTAGCCCTTTTGGCCAACTCGGTCTTTCCTGTGCCCAGCCACACCCTCCGTGGTGGCAGCTCTGGGGGGGGGGGCATTAATCCCCACTCTTCTTCCTCACCCACCCCTCCCTGGCAGCAGTCAGTAGGCATGGGAGGCAGAGACTAAAAGGAGGAGGACCTGCTTCGGCTCTGTGCCTTGATCCCCGCTAAGTGCCAGGCAGGGGGGGGGATCATCCCGGTGGCCATTTCCCCATCCTTCCCCCGAGTGAATGGGCTGCTCCCTCCCAGGGCTGATGCCGGATTTCCGGCCTGTCAGAGTTTAGATTGATGCCTGGAGAGTGAGTCACTCCTGCAGCAGAAGGCACCGATTGTGTGAATGAATCAAAAGGGCTGGACTCCCTTTGCCTGGCACAAAGCTTTTCTGCTGCACCCGAGAAACCCACCAACGCCAATGGGGAGTGAGACCCCAGCCCTTACTGAGGAAGAAGTGTGGGAGAAGGGATGCACTGGGGGGGAGGCAGATGGTGGGGTGGGGGGGGCATGATTGGCAGTCATTGATGACTTATGGCTTCTGCTCCCCATATTACCTAGTGGCCCTCAAACACCACCGTGGATATGGGGTCAGGAAGGCCACGCGGCATTGCTTGCCACGGTGGACCTGCAGCTTTCAACAGAACATTTTCCCAAGTGGTGTACAAGAGTGGCCTTCCACCCCCACCCCAAGTCTTAAGCAGGGCGGGGTGGGATTGGGTAGCAACTGCATGAAGCAGTGTGCATTTCCCCCCCCCCCGTCTTTTAAAACAGGCCCAAGAAAGAGAGTGGGCAGCAGGGCCTTGCCCAGGACTTGCCACTTCCCTTAGACACGGGGCCCACCCACCCACCTTCTTCTGTGGCCAGAACGTCCTTCTGACTCTTGGCCCCACTCCTGCTTGCAAAGCCAACCTGCCCGCTTGAAGACCTCCTTTCCCTCCTGTGCCAAAGACCCCTCCCCTGCTTTCATCTGACGACCCCCCCCACACACACACCCTGTACTTTTCACATCAATTTGGCCCCCTCCCTTCCACTTCTCTTCCTCCACACCCTTCTGGCGTTGGGGTTGGGTATACTTCTCTTACTGGGCCTGGCTGTGGTGGGGTCCCCAAGGCCAGCCGAGAAGGGCTCCAGCCTCTTTTCCAACCAGTAACTCTCAATATCTGGGGCTGGGAAGGATTTGTGGAGGGCTTCTTTCAGCCACCCCCCCCCCATGGGCTAAGTGGGGCTGCCTGAGGGGGCCTTTGCATCAGGGGTCCCTGAAGGAAGATGGGAGCCTGGGACTGGATGAGATACGGCCCATCCCCAGCATCCTCCGGACCCTGCAGACAGCAGGCTTTGGCTGTGGGGCTTTCTGGGCCCTTTTGAAGTTATCATCCGATGAGACCAGGCTTCTGACCCACAGCAGTTCTCGTGCCCCAGAGGAAAGGCCCCTCCCATCTCCCCATCTCTGCCCAAGGGAAGTGAGGTCTAACGTCCCTGGAGGACATTTGGAGGCCTCTGACTAATGGCATCCTTGATATGAGCGTTGCCTAATTGCTGAAGAAGTAGGCAGACGTCGGTGCTGATGGGCCCCTGGAGCCTTACTGGACTCGCCTGTTTCAAGAGGGCTGATGCTCGCCCCACCCCCACCCCCCCTTTCAGCCTGGGCACCAGATGACTGTTGCTGCTGGTGGGCCTGAGCGGTGGTGCTGCTGTACGGGGGAGGTGTGACTCACAAGGAGACTGTGGAGGAGCCAAGCAACTGGGGAGATGACAAAACAGCAATCAGTCTTTCTTCTTAGGAGTGGCTGTGTAGCACGGGGGGGGGGCAGGGGGGGCAGGGCAGATGTCCAAGGTGCAGGCTGGCTGCAGCCCTAAGTGTCCTTCCTGGGGGAACGCAGGCAGAGAACCAATGCTCTGGTGTCCAGAGGCTGCCTCTCTGGGGCGTGTCTGCTGGCAGGTGTCAGGCAAGCAGAGGACCGGCCCCTTCTGCCAGGTGAGCTCAGGGCAAGGGCTAGCATGCCACGGGGCAGCCTGTGGGGGCTGATGAATGACTACTAGAACGGGAAGACGGGCAAGGGAAGGCCCTGCAATCAAGCGAAGGGGATAGAGAACCACTGGAAGTAAAGGAGAGGGGGGTGCGAGTTGACCCCGGGGTCACCCTGTTAGCTGTAGGCTTCTGTAAGGGGGGCTTTCCCTGCATGGGTCCCTGCTCTGTGGAACACCTTCCCTTCGGAGATTAGAAATGAGGGAGGGTTTCCTGCTTGAGCAGGGGGCTGGACTAGAAGACCTCCAAGGTCCCTTCCAACTTTGTTATTCTGCCCCAACCCTGTTAGCCCTTCATAAGACCCTGGAGACCCAGCTGTGTTCCTGACTCTTCCCTGCTGGACGCATCAAGGGCCCCCGTTTCCTTTCTTTCCAACTGGCCCAAGTACATCGGCTGCTTAGTTATCATTGGTGGGGGGGAGGGGCTTCCATTGTTTTTGTTTGTTTTAAAACGCTTTATTGTTTTAATTGTAATACATTTCTTGAATTGTCAGCTGCCCAGAGTCACTGATTGAGATGGGTGGCTACAGAAACTGAATGAATAAACAAAGAGCCCGGGAATGGCTCACTGCCAGCTTGGATCCAGG